CTTTATAATACTTAAGAATTTTTATTCACGTATGTTTAACATGGCAATAAACACCTTTATTCAAGGTAGAATATGTAAAGGAAGCTCTGTTAGAGTCAAGATTATTTTGTATTTTTTTGCACTACCTCTTCCAAAGTCGTAAGCCCATATAGTACTAAAATATGAATAACTCTCATTTACATAGTTTCGGGTACAAATAATTTTTTCAGCAATTCAATCAAGTATTGTGCTCCATTCAACCTGATTATGAAGTTCAATATTTAGTGCCAAAGTGACTACCTCTTGCCCAGTCAGGACGAAAGTTTCTTTGGCTAGGTGGATCACAAATGGTGTTGGAAAATGCTCATCAGCGTTGCATTTATTAGATGATCTTAGATTAGATGCAGATTTATTAGATGATCATTTGCTTTGATCATCTAATAAATCTGTTTCATCGCTATTCCAAATATGCGACCCAGGGGTTATACCAGTCTGTTAATATTACTTAGTGACATATTCAAAATCACGATCCAAAGTTGTCCACTTTTCTTGTTAAAATTATTTTGACCCTCTCTTCATAAAGGCATGAAACTAGTCTTTGCCGGACTTGTTATTTTTGAATAAGTGCAATTCATCTTTGCGTTTAAAATAGCCAGTTACAAATTCAAGGAGTTCATTTCGGGTTAAATCATAACCCCAGTCACTACATAACTAAAACGCATGAACCATTATAGTTTCTGTTTCATTTGAGAGTATCGTTGTTGTACCTTACCCATGGAAACAATTTTTGTTGTTATCTTTGCGATCTTTGATTGGAACACGATGTTAGAAAGATGCTTTTTTCAGTGACGTATTGTTTTCTTTCATATTAGTTAATGCGGCTAGTATATAATCTTCCTTGTACGCTTTTATTTTTTTTTGAAGTTGAATTAACTGAGTGATGATTTTATTGAGAAACAACATAGCAATAGGGTACCGTTGCAACAAAACAACATAACAATTGATTTGTAATGAGTAAGTGGTGGCTGTATTGAAAAATACAACCACCACTTACATAATATTTAATTTTTGATTCAACCGCAATTAACAGTGTTAAGTAGATAAAGATAGGCGGTTAGTCATTTGCGAAAAACTAAACTAAATAATTAATCAAATGTGCGGTTTTATCAAAAAAGTGACTTTTTTTTTTACTTTTTTGATTTTTTAATTAAACGTTTAATTCTGGCTGCTACATGTTATCAGAATGAAAATTAAATCTCCAACAAGATAATGCTAAAATTATTTTTGGTTCTAGCGCTATTTCGTTCGTAATAATAACAATTATTGTTATTATTACGAACGTTAACAATTATTGTTCGTAACAATAAGAAATATATATTATTTTTGTAGAGGTGTACCGTATAAATTTGCCAGATATGTCGGATAGTGAACTTTTCTCAAGTTTTATAAGTGTTTATGAAGTAAAAATAAGTTTTGCCATTATACATTAAATAGTGTTCAAGATTTCCCATTCTACAATAAATAGTGTTCAACAAAAAAAATCTATGAAAAACTAATATAACACAGGTATATGCGTTAATAATGTATAAAGAAAAATCATTTTTTATAGCCAAATTTTTGTTTTTTTTATTACTATTTTCTATACTACATCAGCACATATCCCATGTCATACAGTTTTTTATAGATTTTTTAAAGTAAGATCTTAAATACTATTTATTGTAAACAGGCTAGACTTTTTTTTCTTCATAAACACGTATAGAATAGTTCACTATGCGGCATATCCGGCAAAGGTATCCGGTACACCTCTATTTTTTTGAGGAAAAAAAACGAATTTTGATCAGTGTACTGATTGGTACAGCACTGCGAAATAAAACTAACGTTAGAATTTTTACAACACTCACTTCTGTAAAAAACGGCATTCTGGTTACGTAAGTTATACTTATTTTCTCTCAGCCAAGAGTCAAATTAAAAACACACATTCAACTTTGAAAGAAGTTATTGAATTAACCAAATAAATTTAAATATCAAAAAAGTATAGGGTAGATATACATACTTAAGTTACATACTTAAAAAGTGTGCTAAAGTACGTTATAGTTACACAATAATCAAAGCGAGTAAACGGTAAAAATGTTGTCTGAAGTATAACTTTTTAACAAACATAATTTGTAATAATGATTAATCTGTTGCAATCCGAAGGTTGGTACAATATTTTTACACAGTTTTAAAATAGATTTTCAAAAATTGTTTCCTAATCTAGAGATAATCTAGTTTGAGGAAGTATCTTTAATATTTGTATTTCTAGGGTTTTAACCTCATTTCGTAAATATATACCAAATGCAACTCTTGCTAGAAATTAACCTGAAAAATCAACTCAATACCTTTTTTTTTAAATTAGACATAAAATGTATTTTGTAAAGCATTTGAAATCTAATAGAATTAACATCAAGTTAATATAAACCTAATTTTGTTTATTTTTTAAAATTGTCAAACTGTTATGACATTTTGTTTAAATTGTACTTATCAGCATTTTTACATTATCGACTATTTAAGCTTTGGGGAAAAATTAGAAAAAAATGCTGAATGTTACCTCACTCTGTTAAAAAATATTTTGACCATTTAGAATGTTACTGATGTTACAAAAACTTGTTTTTGTAACATCAGTAACATTCTAAATTGTACTTATCAGCATTTTTACATTATCGACTATTTAAGCTTTGGGGAAAAATTAGAAAAAAATGCTGAATGTTACCTCACTCTGTTAAAAAATATTTTGACCATTTAGAATGTTACTGATGTTACAAAAACTTGTTTTTGTAACATCAGTATGTTACAAAAATGTGTTTTTGTAACAACAATTCATTAATTTTTATCAACTAATCATTTATTTTGAACAGTTTTTCACTTTTGGTTTTAATAAGAAAACCAAGCTAATTTTACTTATATTCTATACATTCAGCAAAAAAAAAAAGAACCTTAACATTCAGCTCCCAGAACCTTAATCATTTTAAGAACTCTGTTCTTAAAATGATTAAGGTTCAAACCTAAAGACTTATTCTTATCTTATGCTACCAGTAGTAGTATTTGTGCTTCCCAGTAAGCACAGATCGTTTTTAAAACGTTTAAAAAACGTTAATATTCGTTTTTTTAAGTTTTTTAAACGTTTTAAAAACGTCCTGTGTTTACTGGGTTAGTCTGGAGCATCAAATCAAAAATCAAAAATAGGGTTTAAAGTGACACGCTCTGTGACATCATGAGATAAAAAAAAAGATCTTTTCGTTGTTCTTTTATAGCTTGATTATAAAATGATTATGCATTATTAAATGTATTTATATCATTTTTATCAAGTCTTACAAAGCAACAAAAATATTTTAAAACTCTTTTTTTCTCTATGGCGTATTTTTGAAACCCAATCCCAAAGCTGTATGCTTTCGTGCTAGCTTGCCTGTAATAAACATACGTTAACATAAATTTAACGTATATCAATTTAGAAAGAAATTATAATAGATATAGCTTATTTTTTATTTTATGAGTTGGACAACTGTTATCTGATTTTTAGAGAATACAGCAAGATCAAAAAGAAGTTGGGTTACTAATATTTAAAAAAAAAGCTATTAAATTTGGCTTCTATGATAAGAAAAGCTAATTTTTTAAATCTTTAAGAATAAAAAATTATAAACGTGACATGTTTTTGGTTTCTATTTATCAGATAACTGATATAACAGTTTGGTTATAAATAACGATGCTAGTTTCGTTATTTTGAATTTATATTAAAAGTTAAAAATTTATATTAAGTTAAAACATATTGATAATCAAAATGCGATCAAAAGTTGAAAAACCGACGTAATATGCGTCATGAAGCGGAAATAGGATTTTACTTACATTTCTTAAAGATTTTTTTTCAATTTTAACATCTTAAAATGTTTTTACGGAATTAGATAAGTAATTGGTATTTAAAAAAGAAATATTTAATATTTTTTCATTATTTCTTTTATATATGAAAATTAAAAAATATGTTTTTGATAAATTGCTTATGATAAAATTCTTTTGATAAAATTTCTTACGATAAAAATCAATTTTTTGCATTATATTTATATATAATCAACTAATATAATAATCAATTAAAAATGATATGTTAATGAATTAAATTATATATTGGTATATTAATCAAATAAAAATTGATATAAATTACAACAAAAAGTTAAAAAAAATATAAATCTACGATGGATTGGTTTAAAATAAAAATTTGGCAAACGCCGCAAATGCAGATGTCATCATTTATAGTGGCCCAGTTGCTTATATACTTTTAAAACTTACATCTTCTATACGTTATCTACAGGCCTTACTGCGTACCATAAGAACAACAACTATTATAATATAACATATGGTTTTAGAGCAACAACAAAAATAATTTAAAGTTATGAGACTCTTGCACATTGTCCGATTTACCGCGCATAATATATTAGAAATGCACTGACGAGGCTGTAAAAAATTGATAATAAATGTAAAGCTTAACATTTATTATCAAATAAAAATATTTTTAAAAAATAGCCTTGAAAAACCTTAAATTTATATATTTACTGTAATGTCGTAAAATAAGATCCACGAAATAAATTTTGACTAAATATACCATTTAGGAGTATATTTAAACACAAAATAATACTTTATTTAAACCTATACTTATTTATTTACTTAAACCTATATTTATTTATTAGTTTTATCGAAAAAGGTTTAGTATTATTAAAGAAAGACTCATTTTTCATAAAACTTAGAATAGATATTGAATAATAACTAGTTTTTTTATAAAATTTAGGGTAGATATTATAAAAAAAAAAAAAAATTAACAACTTTTAAACATTCTTGCATTTTATATTCCTTAAATTTATTGCAAAGATTAAATTTAAACAAATTTAAGAACTAAAGTAAATTAAAAAAAAAAAAAAAAATTATGTTCAAGCTACTTAAATACATTAAAAAATTTTAAATTTAGTTCCTTTTTTATGTTTTCTATTTTGAATTTTTAGGCATACAAAGAATTTTTAAATGGGAGTACTGACGATATTTTACCAAACCTTCCGTACAATAACGAGCAATTATTTTTTATTGGATATGCACAGGTAATATTTAGTTTTTGTAATGTTATTTTGGTACAGATAGTTTTAAAATTTGGGTATTGTTTTTTTAGTTCAAAAATTTTTTTTTCAATGAAAAAATGCAGAGCTAGATTAATTAGATGATTTTACTATGATAACAGAAATAGATAAGTTTTTTATTAAGTTTAGATGATCTTCTGATAACAACCTTTGTCCAAGTTTATATAACTCTAAATCTAAATTTTTATTTTTTACAATAATATGATTTTATGTAGGAATACTGTGCCAACGTCAGACCTAAAACAGAATATATAGCAACGTTGAGCGAGATTCATTCTCCCTCAAAATTCAGGTAAAATGATAAACGTCAATGGAAACTATCATTGTTATATATATATGCAATTATTATTGTTATATATATATATATATATATATATATATATATATATATATATATATATATATATATATATATATATATATATATATATATATAATATATATATATATATATATATATATATATATATATATATATATATATATATATATATATATATATGTATATATATATATATATATATATATATATATATATTTATATATATATATATATATATATATATATATATATAAATAAATATATATATATATACATATATGTATATATATATATATATATATATATATATATATATATATATATATATATATATATATATATATATATATATATATATATACATTTATATATATATATATATATATATATATATATATATATATATACATATATATATACATATATATATATATATACATATATATATATATATATATATATATATATATATATATATATATATATATATATATATATATATATATCTTATAGATCTTATGTATTTAGATCATCTTAATATAATTTAATTGTTCAAAAATTTATTTAGCAAAAATATTTATTTTTATTAATTTAGAGTGATTGGAACGTTGTCAAACTTAGAAGAATTTGCAGAAGCATTTCAATGCAGAAAAAAAGCCAAAGACGGCACTAGAATGAAAATGGATCCTGAAACAAAATGTGTTGTATGGTAGAAGTGTTGTTTTACTATACAAATGTCTAACCACGTGGTTGTTAATCACTAATCATATAACTTATAAATATTAGTATATACACACACCGTCATAATTATTATTAAACAAAATTTTTTTATAAAATTTACTACAACTATTTTGTAAATAAAATATTTTAGAATAAAGAGTTGATGAAAACGGTTTAATAGAATAATTGTTAACAAGTATTTTGGTTCGTTTCTAATATTCGGGTTAAAATCCCTTGTTAAACCCCATTTTCAAAAAATATTTTTTTGTTTAAAGCGTATCAACCTGGGTCACATAATAGAATTCTTTATAAATCAATATTAATTTTATGAATAATATTTTAATATTAATAAAAATGAATAATATTTTATTGGCAAAAAAGAACTTTTCAATTTTTCATACTTTTTAGTGTTTTTATTATTATTTTTTAAAAATAAACTTAAAGCTCAAGGGAAAGCGGGGCAACATGGCGAATGGGCCAAGATGGGTTTTCATATAGCAACTCAACAAAAATACTTAAAATTGGGTGAAAACGAAACTGTATTTGCATCTTGTATTTTAAAACACTAATTGGCTTTTTGAAATATTATTAACGCAACTTTATACACATAAGTTTACTTTTAGCGCCTAAAAAAAAATTCCTCACTTTCGGTTCCTCATAATGGATGGTGTCCTTCAAGTATAACTTCTTTAGAGATAGTTATTTGCATTTTTTGTTTATTTTTTGTTACTTTAGTTAGAGTTATTGGTAGTTTTAAAATTTTTATAAAATTGGAGGTAAAAAATAACAAGTCATCTTGCCCAGGTCACGTGACCAGATGACAAATTATGAACATTTTATTTTAATATTTATTTCAAATGTTATATTTGCAAACTGAAAATTCATGCAGGCAATGAAAGAATTTAATAACGCAAACATACTGAGAAAGAATTATGTTTTCACGACTTATAGTTTTGCAACAACTCAGGGCTTTCAAAACGTTCGCCATGTTGCCCCGCTTTCCCCTATAACAATTTTGTTGAAGTAAAAGCGGAATGTACAGTTAAATTATTTTTAGTAAAATTTAACTAAAAATTGATGAGGATCTTTTATTTGTCGACAGGCTAACAATATAAAGTATTTCACTATTATTATAAAAACTGAAATAACGTTTTTACAACAATAATTGCTTGGATCAGCTGATAATCTCAACAGAATAATTATTTGAATCAGCTGATAATTTAACTGCAGCAATAATTTGGATCAGATGATAATCTAGGCACCGAAACCATTTCTCATATGGCAATTCATCAATTTTCAACTGAAATCAATCCTTACGTAAACATCATCATCGACAAAATGTCAGTAATACCCAGCTGTCTATGTAATAATTCATTTGTAAAGAAAAGAAAACAAAATAAGTTTTATTGAATAATTAAAATATTCATTAAACTGTATTATAAAGACAGTTTTTCATTCTGTTTAATAATAAAATGTTTTTAACCAAATTGAAATATATTGGTCATAATAGTTTTTTAATGGGTTGAAGAAAGCTGCAACTAATGGCTCCACACACAACGGGGAGTTGTCTGTGAAGGTAAAGATAGCAATATAATACCAGACTGAGATAATATTACCATTATAACACCAGATTGCATAATCTAAAACCTTACTGCTTTTTGTGTGAGAAGAATGCCCATCTACCCAGTGGGCACGGGCGTAAAATAGACAATTTACGTCCGTCCGTCCCATTTAAATTCTAAACGTCTTTTGAACGTCTTTTTCGCGTCCAATAAATTTTTTGTCCAAAAAAGATCCAGAATGCTTTTGTTAAATCATAATTAATTTAGTTAAATCACGCAATCTTCAAGACATATTTATTTTTGTCAATTTAAAACGCATTTTTAATACAAATGTACAAGAAAATTCAAGTGTAAAAGAACTTTCAAATGTAAAAGTAGTTTTTTATGGCATCTCGAAATAATGAATGAAGAGTGACTAATAGACAGGTTCTTGCTAATTTATATATATATATATATATATATATATATATATATATATATATATATATATATATATATATATATATATATATATATATATATATATATATATATATATATATATATATATTTATATATTTATATATTTATATATATATATATATATATATATATATATATATATATATATATATATATATATATATTTATATATATATATATATATATATATATATATATATATATATATATATATATATATATATATATATATATATATATATGTATATATATATATATATATATATATATATATATATATATATATATATATATATATATATATATATATATATATATATATATATATATATATATATATATATATATATATATAGGGTTGTCATATTGTAATCACTGAAAAAGAGGAGATTTTACAGAGTGGCGGGTTTTGGAGGGGGGGGGGGCATGGGGTAGTTTCCTCCCCCCCCCCCCCTCTTAGGACTTTTTTCCAAAAAATTATTTTGTAAATTGACTATTATACAGAATCGGACTACTATACTGACAAATGAAATTGACTATTATACGTAATTATACGTATATGAACTTGATTATTACACTAAAGTACAAAAAATTAAAAAACTTCTTTTATGAGAATTAAATAAATAATAACCCCCTTTTTTAAATGTCATTTGTTTTTTTAACACAAATTGCTGGTTTTGCAATTAAAATTAACCTAATTTTAATTCCAAAATGTTCACATTCAATTTTATTGCTGTCTTATAATTATTGAATCTCGATGAATTAAGTCTTATAACTTATTCTATATTAAAATGCAGCCGTGGCGCAGTGGTAGCGCACTTGCCTCAGAAACGTAAGATCCGTGGTTCAAACCCCACCTCTGAGCAAGTTTTGCGACATCGGTTGGGAAGGAGGCGTGAACTTCCTATTAAATGCTCTTCCACGGTGCTCTGTAATAAGACCGTAAGGACTTCTTGGGGCATCTGAATCAACTTAAAAAAAAAATTAAAAAAAAAATTAAAAAAATTAAAAAAATATACTATACTACATAAATGCAAGCCAATAATTATTCCTCCATTATTTAATTTGTCCCTATTGTCATATTGTAACCATTGTTCACTTGTATCTAACTAACCACTTGAATCATTAGTCAATTTCACAGTTATTGACCAATCATTTGTCGGAACAGAGCAAGAACAATGGACAGGGGAAGATAAATCATACCAACTATACTTTTTTGTTGAACTTATCTATTTCAATAAGTCTTTGTTTAATAACAAAAACTTATTGAACTTATAAGTTTGAAAATTGGTCATGGCTCAATGATTTATTAACATTAAAAAAGGGCTTTTTTGTTTACAATTAAGTCTTCAACTTGATCCCAAATAGAAATACAGTCAAGTTTCATCCAACTTAAAGCTTTTTACTCTTGTTATTGAAACTAATACATAACTTACATAAATTACATAATCTTGGCCTAATTATAATGGTAAGTTGAATTAGATAAATAAAATAAACATAAGGTATTTTGTTTATGTTTCGGAGAAACATAAATAAATGATCCATGGAAAATTTTCCTCTCTTTCTTAAATTAGAAAACATTTTTTTTAGACAAAATTATTGATAGTGTATCAATTCTTTTACTTTAAAACTTTAAATTAAAGGAACTATCTCTTGTGTAATAGCAACCCAAATACTTTATTACCTTAACACAGTGTCACGAAATGGCCATCAACCTTAACCTCATGTCCCGAGAAAACCCTTTGGTGGGATGATAGCCCACATATAGTAGATCACTTAGATATAAATTTGGAAATCGAACTATAACGTCCGAGAGAGATATTTTAGTTTTTATTTTCTTCAATTCTGGCATATCAAAATTTAAATGAGATGATAGGAATTTGGCATTTTTACAGCATTTTTGTTGTTACGTTGCTTAGAGTACTATTTAAGACATTATATAACTAATTGGAGCAGGTTTTTTGAAATCATTATTATTTTTTGTTTGTTTTTCAATTTTGCTAACTCCGGGAAAAAGGTGCACATTCAGTTTATTTCAAATAAGACACATTGAAAGTTTGATAAAATGCCTAACAAAGCTAAAACTCATGAAGAAAACCGAAAATGTGTTTGTTTCCTATGTTTGAAGAAGGCAAATCGAGAAATCACAAGTTTTTTAGTGGAGAAAATTCGCACAGTCCTCAAAATTGAGCCTTATTTTTCAAACTTTTAAATCCCTTGTGGAATTTGTGAAAGATGTGTGGCTATTCGCAGACGAGAAGAAGGGGAGGATGCACCTATCCCAAGACTCTTTGATTTCAGCACCATCTCAGTTCAGCGTACTGCAACAAATATTTCTTGTAATTGTTTGATTTGTCAAACTGCAAGGACAAATATAAATCAGCGTCATCCTTTGGAACCACCGAAACCCAAAGAAAATTCAAGCATTGAAAAAAGGTGCTCTGATTGCTTCTCTGTGATTGGTCGTGGATTGCCTCACAATTGCACAACAGGAAAATTAAGGCAAAATTTAGTGGAAGTTACTTCGAGGGATCGCATTGCGGCAGAGAGGGTAGCATCATTAACAATTGCTAATAAAACTCCATCACCTCATGGCACTGTTCGGCTAAGTCAACCACTTGGAGGAAATCGTTTTCCCGTTGTTCCAGGTAAAGCAATATAGATTTAAGCATAAACCACTTACAAATTTCTTTTAAAATGTAAATGTAGAAAATTTTAACCTCGGCCATTAAATGTTCTACAGGACCATCAAGTGCAAGAGAATTGTTTCCTGCTGTGCCCAAGCTCACGGCACAAGACATGGTTCGAATCCAAATTGGAACTAGATTGTCAAATCGTGGCATGTCCAAATTGGCATCATCTTTGAACCAAGCTACACCTCTCCGGATTGTAGAAAAAAATTTCAGAGAAAAATTCGACAGTTTCGGGAAATCTCTTTCTGAGCATTTTGAGACCAAGGCCATACGAGATTCTACAAAGAATGATGACCAGCACCCTTCACGACTGCTTTTTATTTGCCCAGATGTAGGAAGTCTTGCAAATCACGTTATCAAAGTAAGGAATGTTTCAGGAGATCCGCTGATGAAGATTGATGGAGGTAGTGGGTTTTTGAAAGTATCTCTTGGAATCATTGCCAGAAACACAGATTCAAATTCTCCACCACCAAAACGAGGGC